TGAGGCAAAAGCAGTGAGCTACACATTTTCTGAAGGAAATATCTAATCACAAACAAATACTTCTCAAGCATAGTCAAGATTGCCTCCTTGGAACGGGCTGTGCACATTTTCACAACAGTGGGCATGTCCTAGGAGCCTGACGGCACAACAGTTGCACTCGGCTACTAGGCTGTTCGAACCCACCAGCTGTTCGGAGGGAGAAAGCTGCGGCAGCCTCCTTCAGTAAAGATTACAGCCTTGGAAATCCTAGGGGGCAGTTCTACTGTGTGCTAAAGGGTTGCTACGAGTTGACTGGATAGCAATGGTATTCTTCCCCCTCTTTGTGAGTCAGAATGACTGGATGGCATCTCCTGGAGCCAAATAGTACCTCCCTCCCCAACTATCTGATCCAATACAGGCTGGAGTTTTCTCACTCGACTCATTGCTAGGTATCCTTCTCCCCACTGATTAGCCTCTGCGGCTGAGAAATCAAACATTACTCAGCGTTTTCTCAAACTATGCCCTTTCTGTGTCCCTTGAACTTAAAGCTTGAAGAACCCCTGAGGCGGGGTTCCATCAGATGTATCAAAAATATGCGGAAAGTGATACCACTGGTAGCACAGTGGTTAAGCACTGGGCTGCTAACCAGGTCAGCAATTCAAACCCAACATCCCTCTGTGGAAGAGAGACCTGGCAGTCTGCTTCCGTAAAAATTCCAAAACCAAACCAAACCTGTTGCCATGGAGTTGACTGCGACTCATAGTGACCCTATAGCACAGAGTAGAACTGCCCCATAGAGTTTCTAAGGCTGTAATCTTTACAGGAGCAGACTGCCACACCTTTCTCCCGCCAAACCACCAACTGAGCACTTTAACTACTGCATCACCAGGGCGCCTGACTCAATAGCAACATGTTTTAATCTTAGTGGGAACAAATTGCCAGGTCTTTCTCCCGTGGCGCGGCTGGGTGGGTTCGAACTGTCAACCGTTTGGTGAGCAGCCAAGCACTTAACCATTAAGCCATCAGGGCTCCTAATATAATTCAGTTTATTTAGAATGGTATAAAAAGACTGATTATCAACAGTAGAGTTCCACCTTTTTCTTTTGTCTCTTTACTGAAAATAAGGTAATAGTGACGCCCCTTCTCAGGGATGGAAACAAAAGCTGTTTCGGATCAAACAAGAAGCAAGCTTATGTAATAATTTATGGCTAGAATAGTGGCAGGGTGGTATAGCGTCTGCTTTACTTCGGGCGGGGTTCCATCAGACGTATCAAAAATAAGCAGAAAGTGATACTACAGCCTTCCAAAACTCGACGCATTTAGAAACCACTCTCTTAAAAACAGAAAAAATGATATTTTATTCCCCAAAGAATATCCGGCAGTCTGAAGAATACAAAACACTTTACACAAACGCTGTGCTTATTACTAGCGATTTAAACTGGCATTCCTTCTTCTAAGCCATCATGCTCCAGTTTAGCGAGGTAACCTAGACAATAAAACAAGCAAAGAGAAAACAAACGAGGGAACAAAACAGCTCCACCACCAGACAACACCCACAAAACCACAGAAAGCGCAGCCTCCCGGACGAACCCTCAAGACAAAGCCGCGTCCCAGCACGCACCGCGGCCGGGACTACACATCCCAGCATGCCGGGCGCACGCCGCCGCCCGCGGGACTACAGTTCCCGATAGGCGCTGCGGGCACTCATTCGGCCTAGCCCGCGTCAGGGGTCTTAGGGTCCTGCAGAAGTGAGGTCTATCTCTGCCCCCTCAGCCTCCCTTTGGGGTCCATCTATTACTAAACTATGAATATTACGAGGCTTCGAGTCATTCCTTAGTGCCTTTTCACTAAAGCGGCAAGGCGATTCCAACTAGAGCGGGCGGAGGCGGGTTGGCGCGGCTTGCGTCAGCCGATGGCGCCTGAGCGGCTCTCCTGCTGCCATGGCAACGACAACCGTCCCTGGGGCGCCCGCCACCCAGTGGGTGGAATCTTTCGAGAAGGCTCGAGAAGAAGGAAGCGGAAGTGGCACGTGGAGGGGCCGGTGAGTAAATGCCGCAGATTCTGGAAAGTTCTCATCAGTGCGGTACATAAGACTGAGGGAGACGGCCCTTCCCTTCTGGGCCCGTGTGCGAGAGGCCGGCGGCGCCGGGAGGAGAGCCGGAGCTCGGGGCTCGCGGAGAATACCAGCGCCGCGCTCTCCTGTCGGTACTACCTGCGAGCAGCGCTGTCCCCGGAGCCGGCGGCACTTGACAGGCCGGCTGTCCGTGTGTCTGGCCGAGTGACAGAGGCGCGGCCGCAGCCTGCGGGGCCGCGCATCGGGCAAGCAGCGGCGGCAGGAGTGTGGACGCGGACCGGCCATGTCGGTGGTGGGGCTGGACGTGGGCTCGCAGAGCTGCTACATCGCAGTGGCCCGGGCCGGGGGTATCGAGACCATCGCCAACGAGTTCAGCGACCGCCGCACCCCGTAAGTGCGAGCCTGTGGGCCGCGGGGGAGAGGGGCACGGGGGCTGGGGACCGGGGACCGGGGACCGGCGTCCGACCGGGCACTGCGCTTTCCCGGGAGTGGGGAGTGGGCTTCGGGGCCCCAAATCGGAAGGGCGTCTCCGAGATGCGTAGTGTTCCATGATGGCTTCTTCGGTCGGGCTTCCCACTCCGGGCTGGGCCAGGCCGGAGACTTGGCTCCCTTCTCGGCGCCCCCGTACCCACCCGGCTTCGCGGAGCAGGCCGAGCCGCCCCCGGCCCTCCGCGCACATCTTTGCGCACCGCGGCACCCAGGCTGCTCAGCCTTTTCTTCCTGCATTGTGAATCGCGAAATGCACTAGAAGCTTCCAGAGACCTGTATGGTGCTGCTTGCCCCAGTGAGCAAGCCGACTGTTGTTAGTGACCACATAATCGCTCCTTGGGAGGATGAATCCGCCTCTCACCCACCCTTGGCTGGCCTTAATTCTCGGGATGTTTTGTGAAAGATGCTAACGTGCTTTTTGCTCATTGCATGAGAGCCGTGTGTGCGGAATCTTCAATCGTGCCTTTCTTGTTTAAATTAATTTTGCAGTCTGAATAAAGGAGAAACAATATGAATTACATATCTTTGTGCCAGAACTCTCGAGAGAATGAATGCCATCACTGAATTAAATGTTATATTCTGTAGCGGCGTGGGGGAGGGCAAAGGCACCATTTTAAAATGCAACTTTTGGTTATTTTCTGAAGAGACTGTATACAAATACAGCGGCACGTGCGTTGATGAAAACCACTGCTTGCTTCTCAGGGAGATTAATGCAGGTATTAATTTTTTCGTACAAATGCTGTAAGCCGCAGACGAAGAGTGTAGAATGAAGCGGTGAGCCGAAATATAAAATACCGTTGTCTGAGTGCAGATGGACATGTATGAAGTGGGCAGAAATCAGCACACACACGTTCGACAAGACTGGCAGCCTTGGCGAGGCCGGTTATTCCCGGAGCGTTCCGTTCTCGGGCTGTGCCGAGGGCTGTGTAACGGGGGCGGAGTGAGAAGGTGCCCAGGTGCAGTTTACATCTTTGTTCTTTGATCCAGTTAAAAAAAAGAAAGACAGTGTGTTTACAAAACAGGGGAAAAATGTGTACGTGGATGTAGTGAGCACTGTGTGAAGCTGAAGACGAGTTCCGGTTCTAAAATGTAAATCGAGGGCGGTACAGAGTTCCCTAGGAGCCCTGGTGGCTCAGTGGTTAAATTGTTAAGTTAGGGAAGGTTGGCGGTTCGAACCCACCAGCCGCTGCGTGGGAGAAATATGTGGCAGTCTGCTTCCATAAAGATTACGGTCTTGGAAACCCAGTGGGGCAGTTCTGCTCTGTTCTCATGGGATCACTGAGTTGGAATTGATTTAAAGGCACCTGGGTTTGTTTTTTTTTTTGTTTTATTGGAGTTTCCACTAATATGCTTGATAAAATAGATGTTTAATTCAGCTGCATTGGCAAACTTTAATTCCTGTTTAGTAAAATTGATTTCCGCCTTGAGAAATGAGTGAGTTCATTCTGTTAGCACAGGGTTCCTTGGAGCTTAGAATAGTGTTTGGAAGGCGTCTTCAAGGTCTAGCCTCTGCTTAAATATCTGTGGCTTCTAGAACTCTGTTTAGCACTCGCTTAGATAATGTAGGTCTTTGATGTCTCTGTTACAGCAAATCTGTACTGGATTCTGGTATCGAGTTTTTCAGGGTACTTTGTGTGCTCAGCATGTTCGGATTTTGCTCATCTCATTTACCATTACTCCTACTCACCCTCCTAATGGAAAACCCGATTAATTGACTTAGCCTCCTCCTCACAAAGCTTTTCTGGTGCTTGCCTCTGCTCTGCGCTCCTGTGCATTTCATATTCATTGTTGAGAAGGCTGTCTCATACGTAAGTCACTTTATGGCTTCAGAGCCAACTCGGAGCCACTGATTATTCGCTTCTTCCCCCTAGGCAGTTATAACCTTGCCCTGCTGCAGTGCTTGATCTGGATCGTTTTTACTTGGCCTTGTCAGTTAGGAGCATAACTTCGGTCCGCTGGTCTGGATTTATATCAGAACTTTGATGCTAAAGAGGCAGATGGTAGGTATGTCAGGACAGTGATAGGTATGACAGTAGCATTTAAACTTGTACAGAGTTGGTGACTGAGAAAGTTACACCATGTTTCTTTGTTAATTATGTTAATTGTGTGTCTGGGGCCAAATTAATAATACCTGTTACCTGTTCAAAGCACTTTGAGGGTGAGTGTCCCAAAAACCACCAAACCCACTGTTGTTGATTCAATTCCAACTCATAGTGACCCTATAGGACAGGGTAGAACTGGTCCATAGGGTTTCCAAGGCTGTCATCTTTACAGGAACAGACTGTCACATCTTTCTCCCATGGCGTTGCTGGTAGGGTTTGAACCACTGACCTTTCAGTTAGCAGCCGAGCGCTTAACAACTGTGCCACTGAGAAACCAAACCTGTGCCATTGAGTCAATTCCAATTCGTAGCAACCCTCTAGGACACAGTACAACTGCTCCACAGGGTTTCCAAGGGGCGGCTGGTGAATTCGAACTGCCCATCTTTTTGGTTAGCAGCTGTAGTTCTTAATCTGCTACGTCACCAGGGTTTCCACTGTGCCCCCAGGGCTCAATAATTGGGGATTCGGGGAATTGTACCGGTCCTTGAGGTATTGGAGATGTCCTGAGACATGAGCAGACTTCTTGGGGAAGTGGGCTGCCCCCCTTGGTTGGATTCTCAGAACAGTAGTTCTTAACTTGGAGGGCAGGTAAGTGGTCCCCCTTTCAGTATCTGACAAAAACTCTAAAGCCCAGATGGTGCCACACCGTGCTCCTTCTTCTACAGTAGGTAGGACATTTATATTAGAATTTTCCTGCTGTCAGTTAAAAATCTGCACATTTATGCTCTTTAACACTTTTGAAACGTGGTTTTATGTTTCCTCCAGGTCAGTCATATCATTTGGATCAAAAAACAGAACAATTGGAGTTGCCGCTAAAAATCAGGTACGTTCTTTAAAGGAATTCCGATCAGCACAAGTTTTTAAAAGTAAAATCTCAGGAGACCTGCAAGAGTATGAAGGAAGCTCACACCTATTTCAGTTACATTTTGGAAATGTAACTTAAGTGTTCTTCATGAGCCCTGAGAAGACTTTTTTTTCCCCTTTTCTCTCTCTTTGGCTTTATTGGATAAGATTCACTTTAACTTTCTCATCTGCCCACCTTAATTTTTAGTAACTTTACTGCTTTCTAATTTACTATTTTTTTTTTGAAAATTGTAAATAAGACAGTTGAAGTTTTTTCATGTGGAGTTTCTAATGACACTTGTTTTAGGAGTTAGAGATTTCTTTTATAGAAGGAACTTCTCAGAAGCTCTATCTTTACGAGCATTTTCAAGTTATGTAATTAAGGTGGGACTGGGAGAAGGTCTTGTCTGGACCTGTGCTGACCAGCACGGCAGCCATTTCCAGATGGAGCTGTTGAGCGCTTGAAGTGTGGCGGGTCTGAATGGAAATGTACAACACATGTAAAGTAACTCTTGAGGCTTAGAATGAAGGAAAAAAGGAGCATTTCATCAGGTTTTTTTTTTTTTTACTGATTACATATTGAAATGATAGTATTTTAGATATATTGCGCTAAATAAATTATTGAATTTTAACTTTAAAAAAAAATTAAATGTGATTACTAGGAAATTTATTTACATATGTGACTCACTTTTATGGGTCACATTATAATTGTGTTGAGCAATGTCGAGTGCGCCTCTTAGGTGGGGAGGAAATAACTGAGTAGGGAAAAAGAAATGCATTTTGAGAGAATTTAAGAAAGAGACTGAAAATTTTCTTTTAAATACAGAAAATAGTATTGCTAAAAAAGACCTCCAGGCCTGGAATGTATTTAATACTGTATCATGGCTAGTTAGGTTAGAAGAGATACAGACAAAAAAGTAGGTGAGAAGAGAAGCAGGTTTGGAAGGGTGATGTGACGTGCCAGGAGAGAAACACGTGTAGAAACAATCCCCCTGAACGTGGCTGTTTGTGATACCGATATCCAAAATCTCATTTCTGTTGCATCTTTGTGTGATAACTTGAGGACAATGAGTTGAGGCTCAGATCTGGCCTGTAGACTACTAGACGTACTTCATCTCAGTTTTAAAATCACAAGAAATTTTAGGATATGAACATACTTAAATACCACATTTATCAAAAACTAGTACTGCCAAGCTTTATCCTTCCTTTATAAGGAGTAGACGAGAAGAAAAAAGTAACTTTCGGTTTTATTTTCAAGCTTATAACTTCATAAGTTTTATTTCATATTTCTTTTAATTATTTCTGTATTTAAACATGGTTACTACTGACAACGTTGAGTGGAATACTCTGAAATGGGAGTTTATTAATCTAGAGTTCACCTAAGATGTTTGACCAAAGTGGTGGATGAAAAAACACAAGTTTCTTAACATTTTGACATGTTTTCTTGAATTTCAAACACAACATTATTTCTGCTGAACGTGGTGTTAAAACCTGAGAGATGAGACAGCCCTGTATACTTTCAGCAGGTTGCTTGAAATCGCGGAGCGAGAAAGAGTTGGTGGCCTTATTTAACAAACACGTGCACCAATCATGTGTAAGATGATAAACGAGTTTAATTTGTTTTTGAAAGTCAAAAATAAGCACGTGGAATTGAAAACATTAAGTCACCTAGAAACTTTTTAAATCCTCCACACTTTTTCTTCCTCTTAGGACAGATAATTTAGCATTCCATTCTTTTGGAAGGAAAGTAGCAATTTGTGTATTATGTGGCACAAAATGTGTTTATTCTGGCCGTTCAATGTATTAGACTAAAAATTAAACTCTTTAAAAAAGTGTAATTTGGCTGTAGTGCTTCTAGGTCTTATTCATTCATCCATTGGGCATGTGTTAAACTTTACAGGTTTAGTGGGAAAATGAAGGAATGAAATGAAGTGATACAGTTCTTGGGATTCTTCAGAGGCTTGGTGATACTTCACTGTCTTTGAATTCATCTTGTAGATTGAGAAGCTGCTTTAGAGTCGGCATGACACGGTTGCCTCGTGTTCGCTTTCACTGCTTCCCTTCTATCATTTTCTGTAGGGAAGGGGAAAGTATAAATAAATCCATTTGTTCGGGGCTCTGGGGAAAGTTACTTGATTTCTACAGTTATTTGATCAAGTCTCTAAAGTTTAGATCAAGTCTCTGAAATTGCTGTAAGTACTGATAGACCCTGAAATTAGAGAGAAATTAAAAATCATCTTTTGCAGCAAATCACGCACGCAAACAATACGGTGTCCAACTTCAAGAGGTTTCACGGTCGAGCCTTCAGTGACCCCTTCATTCAGAGGGAGAAGGAGAACTTAAGTTATGACTTGGTTTCAATGAAAAATGGTGGCGTTGGAATAAAGGTAAGGTAACTGAGCAACCTTAGATTCTGGGAAGATGACAGCCTCAGAAACCCTATGGGGCAGTCCTACCCTGTCCTGTAGGGTCACTTGGAGTGTGAAGTGACTGGATGGCAGTGGGTTTGGATTTGGTGTATCCGTTAATAGGACACTGTTTAATTCATCCGTACGGAAGAGTAGTTACTTCTTACGAAATCGGTCCCTGGGGTGGTGCAGATGGTTTGTGCTTGACTACTTACAAAAAGGTTGGTGGCTCAAAGCCACCTAGAGGCGCCACAGAAGAAAGGCCTGGTGATCTGCTTTGTAAAGATTCCAGCCAAGAAAATCCTATGGCGCAGTTCTACTGTGTAACACATGGGGTCTCCATGAGTCGGAATCGACTTGACAGCAGTGGTTTTTTTTTTGGTTTTAATTCATCTATAGGGGAAAGTACTTACCTCTTAATCTCATTTCTTAATTGGACAAGGGGTCTTTTTGTTCTTTTTTTCATCCAGCTGTTATGTAAACTTCAAACTGTAGTAGGTTTACGTTCAGATGGTCTTTAAAAATCATTTAAATTGTATACTTTTATGATCTAATTTGTGTTTTTTCTAGCTTTTTGACTATTGTAAAAATTAGCTATATTTGATAGGTTTTTTTTTTTTTTTTAAATCTAAATCGTGTTGTCCTGTCAAACAAAAGTCTGCTCCAGAGACCGCTCAGTTGTGGTTGTTTGGTGAGCAATGGTATAATAAACAGCCAGAGATCTTTTTTTAAACCAGCAGAGGTAGTCCTGTTTTTTGATCCACACAAAATATTTCTCCCAGTGATTAATCTCTTCACGTAGTGTGGACATTTTCCACCTTGTATAATGTTGGGACCAGCGTCTTGGATAGGGGGAGACTGCCTGGCCTTCTCTGTCCTCCCCCATACTTAGGGGACAGTTCTTTCTTCTTTTTCCTTCTTTCCTAAGCAGTTGTTACAACGGGAGTCTCTGCAAGAGAATACATAGTAATATGTGGAAGTTAACATTGGCTTGTGGCTTTACAATGTTCGAAACATGTTCTCCCTCTCTAGGTGATGTACATGGACGAAGAACATCTGTTCAGCGTGGAGCAGATAACAGCCATGTTGTTGACCAAGTTAAAGGAAACCGCTGAAAACAATCTCAAGAAACCAGTAACAGATTGTGTTATTTCAGTAAGTAGAATTCAGCAAGACTGGGTTTTATTTTACTTTGCCTCCTTTATGGTCCTCTTAAGTATTAAACGTGTGAGAAGTGTTGGATTGCTGGAGAAAGAATTGTGCTGGACTGTTAACACAGTATCAGGAGCGTGTAAAAGTAGATCTGAGTGGCATGGTTAGCAGCTTCAGGAGTGGCTGTCATCTGGCAAGGTTCTTCACTGAAAGTGACATCAGAAATCTCCTGTGGTGCTCTTTGAAAATACAGACTGTCTAGTCGCATCTGCGGATGCTGTAATGTGGTGAGTAGACGCGCTGCCAGACAAGCTGGGGACTTGGAAAGCCGTGCGGGTGAGAACTCTCCTTCAGTTGAGAACCAGTGCATTACAGTAAGGTGGCGGTCTACCAGTAGCGACAGAACCTAGAGGTTTGAACATGGGCAAGCCTGTGACTTTGTGTGGAGAGTTGCTAGCCTAGGGTACCCAGGAGGACTTGGAATGGACAGAAGGCATCTTGCCCTTGGCTGCTGAAAAGTTGGTTGCAAGTTGTGCTTTCTCACATCTCAGGGTCGCCTGGGCTTTGAGCTGACTGATAACGCTCCCACCAGGGTTGTCTGTTGTGGACTGGGCTCAGCACATTCCCAGCAGTGCAGCATGCCCAGACCAGTCAGGAGCCTTTGTCAGAGGTCGCTAGGATATGAAAGAGTCAAGGCAGAAGGGCTAACTTTGCTCCTCTTGTCCTTTTGAGACAAAAAGCATTTTACCAAAAGAATATCTGGCTGCTGCTTAGAGAAGTAGTAATTTCTGATAAAATTAAAGCGGTAAGTCTGGCTTTTTTTTTTTTGAAAACTAGTTTACTGTTGAAAACTGATAAAAGGAGGTGTTCTGATTTGAATGGTGGACAGAGACCCACTTTTGCCCTTTTGTCGTTCCAAAGTATCTGAAAATGTTTGGCAGAAAAGTTTGAAAGCCAGTGTACTGCATTTTCTCCTGGGTGCTTTGCAGTTAAATGGCTGTGTGGACGTGTGGTGGGTGGCCTCTCTGTGGAGTCCCTGTTAGGTTGCTGTCCTAGAAAAGCAGGCGGGAGAATTCCTGTAACTGGAAGCACAGGTGAACACTGTAAGACACCGCATCCTCTGAGCAGCTTTTGCTCTGGTACCTCTTAGGAAAATCAGTAGGCTTTGCCAGGAAGCGTTTCTGTGATCTTGTCAGGACTGTGGGGTTCATTCCCCATCTCTTGTTAACGCCTGAGCTCAGTGGATGGCAAAGCTGAAGGGCGGTGGCGTGTGCGAGAGTTAGCTCTGTGTTATCTTTAAATTCTTGTAGTTTTTCTGTATCTACACTTTAATTGTACAGAGAGACCTGTGAGAGCCGCAACTCAACAGGGTGCCTTGTTTTGGGTCTCGCAGGTTTTCCACCACCGACAGGGTGCATTCTTACCACTTTTTCTGTCGTTTATTTTAGCTGAAAATATTTGAGCTTTCCTTCTCTGATAGGTTTCTGTCTAACCGGGTTCCAGCTTTCACAGGTTTTACTTATATTTAACATTAAATGTTGACTTCGCATTGTAAAGTCCAAAGGTCAGTAGAAATTTAAGAATAATTTAGAGGCACTATTTTACCTACCTAAAAGTTTTGTATTAAATTTAAGTAACTTCCACTATGTTTTGTGAGTATTCTTGATAAATTCTAATTTCAGGTTGATATTTATTTATAGTAACGATTACTTTGATGTGTAATTAATTGTGGGATAGTCTTCTCAAAAGTAGTTTTTGTTTCTGAAAGTTTAAGTAACCGCAGGGAACTCAGGCTGAAGTTCTGCTTCTGTTTTGGGAGTTGGCCAAGCGCCTGCTTAGCTGAGCTGTTGGGAGTTTTTTGGAAGTGGTTGTGAGGAGTTTTGTGTCTGTGTTTTTCTAAATCAGTTAAAACTCTTAACCTTCCCTCTTGTGTTCGTAGGTCCCCTCCTTCTTCACAGATGCCGAGAGGCGGTCTCTTCTCGATGCGGCTCAGATTGTCGGCCTGAACTGCTTAAGACTCATGAATGACATGACGGCCGGTAAGAAGGCGCCGCCTGTGCCCGTGACCGCCCCTCCCGTGTGCCCCGTGACCGTCCCGCCTGTGTCCCCGGGACCGCCCCGCCCCTGTGCCCCATGACCGCCCCGCCCATGTGCCCCCGTGACCGCGCCGCCCGTGGGCCCCCGTGGCTGCACCGTGGGGCTAAACTCAGGTCACTCCGGGTGGTGTCATTAGACACTGTGGAAACACAGCCTGTCGAAAAAAACGTGGGTTAGATTTGCAAGCAAAAATCTCAGCTCTTTAGATGCTTATGGTTAGTAAGAAGTTAGTGCTTTGTCCTGAATCTGTCTTCATTAGGAAGTGCTTCTGTAAATTTTTTTAATCCTCTGAATTAGGTGGGTTGGATTTAGTTCTGTTTCTTGCATTGTTTTATATTAACTAGTTTTCTTAAAAACCTGGGAATTCGGGCGTTTCACAACTTCCTTGGCTACAAGTATCAGGTTTGTAATTTTCGCTTTAATGTAGCTTCTGAATTGTAGTTAGGATTTGATCATTCATCAGACGTTGATTAAACTAGTGCTGTTGGTCAGACATCGTGCAGGCGTTGTGCCTGTAGAGGTGAGCAGAGCAGCCAGCCCTTCCTCCAGAGTCCACAGCAGTTCATGATGAGTAAAGGAGAAACCAGACCTGTGGCTGTGTCGATCCCAACACACAGCGACCACATAGGACAGAGGAGGACTGCCCCATGAGGTTTCCAAGGCTGCCATCTCTACTGAAAGAAGCCCTGGTGGCGCAGTGGTTAGGCACTCTGCTGCTAACAGAAAAATTGGCGGTTCAAACCCACCAGCCGCTCTCTGGAAGAAAGATGTGGCAGTCTGTTCCCATAAAGATGACAGCCTGGGAAACCCTGTGGGGCAGTACTCTGTCCTGTAGGGTCGCCGTGAGTCGGAATCGACTTGATGGCAATGAAAATCTTTACGGAAACAGACTGCCACATTTTTCTCCCATGGAGCGGCTGGTGGGTTTGAACCACCGATCTTTGGGTTAGCAGCCAAGCACTTAACCAGTGCGCCACCAGGGCCCCTCTATGATAAATACAGACGTGCAAAAAGGGGATTACAATCTAGTGTGTTTAGGCAAAGGGGAGAAAAAAGCTTTGTTCGGCATCTTCGGTAGCTTTTGGGCAAACTCATTTAAAATTTATTGGTAAAGATACGTTCTTAGGCGTGCACATTTAGAAGTAGTGGTTTCAAAGACTTCAAGGCATTTGCCTTGAATTAAAAAACAACTGCAGTGTCTGTAGTTGTGTATTAAATTTTCTAAGCAGTCCCCTAGCAGGGTGTGGTCAACACGTAAGTGTTAAGGAGCGAGTCTGATTATTGTGCGTGATGTTTTGTAGTAGTCACAGCACGTGTGTTTTGTCCGTCGCGTCTTCCCGTATGTTGAGAATTGATAGAGGACGCTCCTAAAACCGGAAAGGGAACCGTAATGGATTCCGGGCCAATCCATGTGCAGCCAGGTGTAAAAGGAATGTGTTCACCTTTAATTGTTTCACATCTAGTAAGGTTCCTGCATGTGTGATTTTATGTAGCAATGAAATTCCTAAGAAAATGTGAACCAAAGAATTGAAACATACTTATTTTTTGTAGTTGCTTTGAATTACGGGATTTACAAACAGGACCTTCCAGGCCTGGATGAGAAACCTCGGATAGTGATTTTTGTTGATATGGGCCACTCAGCATTTCAAGTGTCTGCCTGTGCTTTTAACAAGGGAAAACTGAAGGTAAGGTCACAAGTTGAACATAAGTCCTCCAACGTTAAATGTGTTGTATTTGTCATGACTTCAGGCTGCCGAGCCTCTTGACTGTGCTTATCCTTGGTGATGATGTAGCCTTTGCTAAGGTTGATTCCCTTAAAGAAGCTGTGAGTGTCTTAGCATGTCTAAGTGTTCTTGTTGCAGAAAGAAAAGCTTGTTAGGGTTGTCACCTGTGTAATCGTTAAAGGTCAACAGTATTGTGGAGATCTAGCATTCCATTTGAATTGCGTGGTTACGTTTCTTCTGACTTGGGTTTTGCGTTATTGGGTAGAAATTTATTTGTATAAATAGCAATGTTTAAGATCCTAGTTACAAATACGATGGAGAATAACCAGATCATTGGTTGTTTTAACTAAATTAGGTCCTGGGAACAGCTTTTGACCCTTTCTTAGGAGGGAAGAACTTTGATGAAAAGTTAGTGGAACATTTTTGTGCAGAATTTAAAACCAAGTACAAGTTGGATACGAAGTCCAAAATCCGAGCGCTCCTTCGCCTGTATCAGGAATGTGAGAAGCTGAAGAAGCTCATGAGTTCCAACAGCACAGACCTGCCACTGAACATTGAGTGTTTCATGGATGACAAAGACGTGTCGGGAAAGATGAACAGGTGCGTTTTGAATTCTGCCAGACCAAGGAGAAGGGACGCCCTGCTGAGACCGTAGCGGAGGCGTCGGTCGTAGCTGTGGTGGTGGGAGTCTGCCCGCGGCTCAGGATCGTTTGTTGTGTGGCCTGAGGCTTGAGAGGGCGTTACTGATCCGCCGGTAGAATTATGGGCACTTCTGCAAAGAGAGTGTTTGCAGCGTGTCTTTGCAGTAAGTGTCCTCATGTGATGGAGTCTTTTAGGTGTTCTATACTTTTTGGTATTTCTGGGCCAGTAACTGAATAATTAGGAACCCTGGTGGCACAGCAGTTAAGCACTGAGCTGCTAACTGAAAGGTTGGCAGTTCGAAGCCACCTAGTCCCACTCCCCAGGAGTAAGCCCTAGTGATCTGCTCCTGTAAAGATTACAGCCTAG